CTTGCTATATTGCTCCCAATTCACGTTTAACTTCTGCGTTTTTGTGCAACACATGTAATGTGAGAACATCCTACAATTTATAGAGTTAGTAGATGAAGAAATAACTAGAGTTCTGATGCAACTCTTCCTTGGTGGAAGAGTTGTAGTTGATTTCAACTTCTAACTCCTTCCCTATCTTGGATAGTGTTCTCTTTGAGTAAGGAGTCCTTCTCCTTATCAATTATGCAACCTTTTCGATCAGGAGATATTAAATACGCCAAGTTAAGCTTATCTCCTTCACGTTCATCCCACATGCTTGAATCTGCCCGTTTTTGTGCACCTGAAGGATGGACCTACGGGATGGACCTGGTTCATGTCTGAGTTCCTTTGTCAGTCTTCAAAACTAACCTTTACTTGGGCCAACAAATTCCCCCTTTTTGATGATGACAAACTCTGTGCTTTTCATACACTTAGGCCCTGCCAGAACTCAGCTCATCATCAACACAATGTTAGAAACATTTTTCCTTTTTATCACTTATCATCAAGGACCAGGTACCTTAGGTTATAAACATCAATGTTCAAAGTCTAAACATCACTTGTTTAAAGCACAACCTTTTCCCCCTTTTGGCTTCATCGAAAAGTTGCATAGAAATGTATATGTGATACACTGATTAGACTGTACTTTAGGCCATCTATCAAGTAGACATTCTGAATAGAGTGAAAATCAGTCTTACCTACCTTTCCAACCCCAATGATCTCACCTTTCTTCCCATTTCCAAAGGAGACATTACCTCATTTCGGGTCCTCAAATGAAAGGAACTGGTTCTTGCTTCCTGTCACATGCTTTGAACAGCCACTATCCATGTATCATATTTGGCTGCTCCCCTTCACTTGGACCCGCAAAAGGAAATCAGGGATTAGTCTTAGGAACCCAAACTAGTTTGGGTCCTTTTCTATAGGCAAAAGGGTAAATCAGATTCTTTTTAGCCCAACCTGGCAGCCTATTTTTCCCTTGAACAAATTCTTTATTCTTTTGACTAGCCTTTTCTTTTGCAATACATTCACTTTTAAAGTGACCAGTTTTACCACAGTGTGTGCAAATTTTGTTCTCAGGAAGTGTAAGGTACTTGCTTTTGGGATCCCACTTAGGTGCAGGGGTCCCGTAGCCAAGTCCTCTCTTGTTGCTACTATGGTGTTCGTGTAGCCATGAAAGTGCATCGGAGGACCTATTCCATTTACAAGTTCTATCTAGCTCGTGCTTAACCTTGTTTAGATCCTCCTTAAGGACTCTTATCTGCTCATCTCTTTTGTACAACTCATCTTTTATTTTTCCTACATTTTCTTCTAAAGTGAGTTGTGTGTGATCAACTTTCTTTTTACCAGTTCCTAATTTCAATTTTATATTTTCAAATCTAAGCTCTAGGACAGTGGTGTCAAGTTCATGAACCCGGTTCTTTAACTCAGCATTTTTACATTCACTTTCACTAGCCCTAAGTTCCAGATTTTTGCACTTAGCTTTCAAAATCACACACTCCTTAGACAGTTGTTCGTTTTCATTGTTTAGATCCTCAGATTCATCAATGAAATCCATGAGTAACTCAGATAGCCTTTCTTTAGAAAAAATTTAATCTTGTCTTTGAGATGAATTATACTTACCTCAGATTCCTCATCGGATTCTCCAATTGCCATGAGTGCTTGTTCATCTCCATCTTCATCCTCTGAGTCCTCATCTGAGCTTTCTCCCCAGGCAGCAACCATAGCCTTTGTTGATCCTTTGTTCTTCTTGGGTTGAACCTGTTCCTTCGTTCAGTTCTTTCCTTCTTCCATTCAATTTCCCATTGAGGGCAGTTTTTGATGTGGTGATCAGTCTTCCCACACTTGTAACACCCCTCATTGGTTTGTTTTTCAGTAACCCTTTGTTTGTTGTAGCTTCCACTTCTTGAAGGACCCTTTCCTCTCATTAGGTAATTCTTGAAGTCCTTTGTGATCATGGTCATTTCATCCTCCTCTAGATCAGCACCTTCAGTGATTCTGAGTGCCATGCTCCTTTCCTTCTTGGGTGCATCCATCTTCATGGTTTGCCTTCTAAGTTCATAGGCAGTGAGATTTCCAATTAGCTCATCCAACTTAAGAGTGGCAATATTCATTTATTCCTGAATAACAGTGATTTTGCTTTCCCAAGAGACTGGCAGAACCCTTGTCAAAATCTTCTCAACTTTGTCTTCTTCAAGAATAACCCTTCCAAGAGACTTAAGTTCATTTGTCAGTGTGGTGAACCTTGTATACATCTCCTGGATGGTTTCCCCTTCCTTCATGGTGAAATTCTCATATTGAGAATACAACAGTGTTCCTCTAGACCTCTTCACTTGAGGTGTTCCTTCATGAGCCACTTGCAAAGTGTCCCAGATTTCCTTAGTAGTGGTACAACTTTGAATTCTACTGTTCTCGTCTGGACCAAGTCCGCACTCAAGCCATTGTGGCCTTAGCATGATTTCCCATTTCCTCAAGTCCTCAACATTGCAGTCAGCTCTTGTTTTTGGCACATCTACTCCTTCATCATTCTTCTTCATGGTAGCCAGGGGACCATCAGTGACAATGTCCCATAGCTCATAGTCTTCTCCGATAATGTGGTCTCTCCTCCTGTTTTTCCACCAAGAGTAGTACTAGCCATTAAAGAGTGGATGCTTATCTGTGGATTGCCCTTCCCAATTTCCAGGTGGTGCGCTCATCTTGATATGTTCCAAAGGTGTTAGTCTCTTCATGAAAACTCTGTGTACCTATTACAATGCCTCTAGACAAATATGAAAGGTACAATATGAAAAAACTTACTACAATTGAACTAGAATAAAAGACAGATAGTTGATGCTGATTCTTCTATCTGATTCATGTAGCTTCAGGTTTGCACACTTGAATCACACACGAACTTCTTGCAAAATTACCTTGCTATTTGCTCTCAATTCACGTTTAACTTCTACGTTTGTGCAACACATGTAAAAGAGAACAACACTAATATTTATGGAGTTAGTAAATAAAGATTAACTAGAATTCTGATGCTACTCTTCCTTGGTGGAAGAGTTCTAGTTAATTTCAACTTCTAACTCCTTCCCTATCTTGGATAGTGTTCTCTTTGATTAAAGAGTCTTTCTCCTTATCAATTATGCAACTTTTTCGATCAGGAGATATCAAGTATATCAAGTTAAGCTTATCTCCTTCACGTGTATCCTGCATGCTCGAATCTGCCCGTTTCTATGCACACAGGGGATGGACTTGAAGGGATGGACCTGGTTCATGCTTGAGTTCCTTTGTCAATCTTAAAAACTAACCTTTACTTGGGCCAACTGCCACCGCTCAAACCACCACTAACACCACCTCTCAACCCAACATTTACAACATAACCAAAAACCGCAATATCACGAAACCAGGATGCCCAAAACAGTGTGGAAATCTTACAGTTCCATACCCATTTGGGATTGGCATAGGATCTGGTTGTGCCTTTGACCCTAGTTTTGAGATCGACTGCAACACTTCAGTTGGTTCTCCAAAACCCCTCATTTGGAACATTAATGTCTATGAAATATCCGACAGTGAAATGCGCATATCAAGTACTGTAGCTCGGAGGTGTTACTCACGCGAAGGACTACTTCAACTCCCTGATGTTCCTGCATGGATGACTTTAGGAACTACTCCTTAAAATTTCTCATCCCTTAACAAATTCTTCGTCGTTGGTTGTGATGAAGCTGCTGTGATGATCGGACTCAACTATGCTAATGGATGTTTCTCTCTCTGCACTAGTACCAGTGATATTATTTTTGAAGGAAGATGTATGAGAACTGGTTGCGTTCAAATAGAAATACGAAAGGGATTGAAATACTTTAATGCATCAATCCTAAGCATGGATAACCACACGCAAGTTTGGTCTTTCAATCTATGTGGCTATGCGTTTCTTGGTGAGGCGAGTCGCATCCAATTCAGAGGCGTTGAGGATCTTATTGATGATGATGTTAAGTTTACACAAAGGATTTTTAATAATGTCCCGATCATACTAGATTGGGCCATTGGAAGTCTTACTTGTGTTGAAGCACAGAACCGTACTGATTATGCATGCCTGGAGAATAAACAATGTGTTAATTCCAACACAAGTCTTGGTGGTTATAGGTGTAGTTGTAAGTTGTAACTCAGGATATGAAGGCAATCCATACATTAGTTCCGGCTGCCAAGGTAACTTGATTTTTTTATTTTGCTACTAGGATAATGGCAATGGGTTAGGACAAACACTAAAAGAAAAGTGCGAATTACATTGGGATTTTACTCGAGAATTTATTTCACAGAAAAAGACAAAGCGCCATAGATTAATATGAAATATTTCTCTGTTTTGCATGTCAGATATTGATGAATGTGCGGATTCAAATGCCAATTAGTGTGAACACAATTGCATAAACACGCTGGGGAGTTACAATTGTTCTTGTCCTGAAGTATACACTGGTGATGGCAAAAAAAAAATAAAAAAATAGTAGTGGCTGTATTGCACTGAGCTCGAACTCTGAATTTCCATGGATCAAGTTTTCTGTTGGTAAGATTCTCATAAATTGAACTTGTTTCTGCTTTACTTCTTAATGCTTATTGTAGAAATTTACTTATAATTACTTTACAAGTAACCTAATTATGTAAATATTGTTCATTATACCATCAATACATAGTACATAATCTTTTAAGTAAGTATTATACATGATGGTGTTAGAGATATCACTAAATTTTAAACACGCCAAACAAATCATTGTAAAAAAAAATGAAAGGAAAAAGGGAAATGAGAGAAACAGAGACATGCGAACTGATGTCACAGCTTAAATAAGAAAATGTTTACTCCTTTCTATATTTTTTCGGTTTCCGTCTAAAACCAGCTTGAGTTTTCGGAACTAGACTAGCATTTCTTTTGTGAATTGTGATACATGCACCATGTATCATATATGATGAATGGGGTAACTTTGCACCATATATCAAATTTTGTTGTTATAAACACAGGTATGGGAGTTGGCTTTATATCCCTATTGGTTGGGACAATTTTGCTCTATTTCAGTATCAAGAGACGAAACTCATTAAACTTCGGGAGAAGTTCTTCCAACAAAATGGTGGTTTACTCTTGAAACAACAAATCTCCTCTAAAAAGGGTTGTGTGGAAGCAGCCAAAATTTTTACAGCTGAGGATTTGAAGAAGGCGACAAACAACTATGCCAATGATAGAATTCTTGGTCGTGGTGGAAATGGAATTGTCTATAAAGGTATTCTCCCTGATAATCGCATAGTTGCAATTAAAAAATCTAAGTTTGTGGACGAGGATCAAATTGAACAGTTCATCTATGAGGTACTTATTCTTACTCAAGTCAACCATAGAAATGTTGTGAGACTCTTTGGATGTTGTTTGGAAGCTGAAGTGCCTTTACTAGTTTATGAATGCGTTTCTCATGGAACTCAATTTATGAGCATATCCACAATCAATATGGAGAGTCATGTATGTCTTTGCAAAATCGACTACGAATAGTTACAGAGACAGCAAGTTCACTTGCTTACCTTCATTTATCTGCATCGATGCCAATAATTCATAGAGATGTCAAATCTACTAACATATTATTGGGCGATGTTTACATAGCAAAAGTGGCAGATTTTGGAGCTTCAAGATTAGTTCCTGAAGCTACATCGGTTCAAGGAACATTAGGGTACTTAGATCCTGAATATTTTCGCACAGGTCAATTGACAGAGAAAAGTGATGTTTACAGTTTCGGAGTAGTTCTTGCAGAACTTTTGACAGGGATATTACCTATTTCGAGAGATAAAAGTAACCAGGACAAAAATTTGGCAGAGTATTTATTTCAGAATAGCTTATTTCAAATTCTTGATCGCAGAGTAGTAAAAGAAGGAAATCTTGAGCAACTTCAGAAAATTGCCGAGCTTGTTAAGAATTGCCTTCACTTGCATGGAGAAGACAGAACTACTATTAAGGAAGTGGCAATGGAACTTGAGAGTTTAAGAAAGTTCACCAAAAATAACCCTCGGCCTACCGAAAATGGACATGAAAAGAGTGAAGATGAATTATCAGATCTTTATGCAATTCCAATTGACTCTTATCGATGTTTCGACAACTTCTCCGGACAATATCCCAACTCCTACACTAATAGCAGCATTCTTACACAAATATCCATTTTTTCGGATAGTTCTTCTTCACTATATAACACAAATATCCCTCGGTGATCCTGAACAGAAGGATAATATGATGATTGATCAAGATTATCTGCGCTTGTAAGTCCTTTTTGCGTGTCCTTCTTTCATATATTGAATGTTTTGATGTAGTCTATTGGCTTTTGAATTTGTCATCAATTTCTCATTGTATTAGTGATAAGAGATGGGAGTTAGTAGATGTTCTCCCTAATTGTAAATTGCCCAGACATTTATATGAATTTTTTCTCATTGTATTAGTGATCAAGGCTTGGGCTAGTGCTAGCAACCCACATCTGATCTAGTCATTCACATATCCGCATGCTAGTTGATGAGGTCGCATTTGGCGCCATTACAGCAAAAAATTTTACTAATATACATATAAATAATCTTATCTAGTCCTTCGTCTTTTTCAGATTGCTGAATCCGAAGTCTTGAACTGCGAAAGTCTAACTTCAGACCCGAAAATCTGAAGTTTGAACTACCAAAATCCAACTTCAGACCGTAGTAAGCTCTTGCAATTCAATCTTATGTCCTAAAAGCGGCTTTTTGTGCAGTGGCCCCAATATTAAATTAGTCTAAACAACATACCAACAAGCAGAGTAGACGAGATCAGCGCTAGAAGGAGAGGGGAAAAAAGCAAATATTTGTGGGAAATAAATCGAGAGTAGTCTATCTCGATAATTTCTTTAGCTTAAACGACTCACACGCATGCTTCTCATGAGCCAATTGCTTGAAATATAACTATCATCATGTGTTTTAAACGTATCATAGAGAAATGCTCAATTGTGGTAAACATAAAGGATGAATCTGCTCAGCTGTATGTTCAAATAATTATTTCAGACCAATGACCAGGCAGAAAGGGCTATTCTTGTCATTTACCGAATAAACTTGTATACGGTCAAGATCGTACGCCTTCGATCTATAGAATCGAGAGGTCGTCCAAAGCCCGGGATCGCCTTAGGTCCGAGTTCAAGAAAGCTCGAGTTCGAGGTCGGGACACTAGACTCGAGCTCGAGGACGCAATGCAACGCCCGAAGATTGACGCATGAGGTACACCGAACCTGGGCATGCTTGACCCCGAAATAGTACCGTTATGGGCTTGTAACAGAATGGGCTAGATTCCTGCCACCTCTCTAAGATCATGGCGCAAATCCCGAAATAGGATTGTATAATTCCGTACTAGGCGGTTAGACAGCTGTATCAAGAATATTCCTTACTGTAAATAGAAATATATCTTATTTAGGGTTCCCCTATTATATAAAGGGGACCCCAATCATTTGTAACATCATCTGATCGTTGGCAAGAATATACTATCCTACTTTTCTCTCTGTTCATCAGAATTGTCCTTTACATTTATTGTTCTTACTTTATTGCTCTTAATCCATCTCGAGGTCGCTAAACTCGATGTCACTACTGCTGAATAACATTGGTTTGATTCACTTGGTTCTTTCACTTCTACTTCCTATTTCTTGATTATTAATCAGTATTGAACTAAATCACATATCTTTAAAACCACAAATCAAATTTAGTTGTTACTCGTATTTTCGAGGTAAAAAGTTTGGCGCCCACCGTGGGCCTAAAGATAATAGTGATTGTTTCATTACCGATTCTCATTACACACGTTATTTTTACACTTTTTCTTATCAAGATTTTTTTATTCTCAGGCTGAAACATGTCTAGCTCACAAAACGCACCCATTCATGACAACAAAGGTATTGGGAAAATAGCAATGCAGGGGTTGGTGTACCACCGACAAACCCAGGGGAAGTGCCCAATGCGGAATCAGTTGATATTAGTTCGCACATTGCTTTGAATGCAGACCTAGGCGCAGACCCCGGAGGGATTATATGCAGGGAAGCCCGACCAGGGGACCAAGGAACACCAGGAATAGGAGATGGGGGAGTCAGCCTCCAAGTGATATTCAAGATGCTGCAAGCTCAGCAAATTGCCATCGCTCAACTTGAGAGTCAGAATAAAACTCTAGATACCGTCGAACCAATAAAAGCTCGACGTACTGAACCGGCGCTGGAAAGGCCAGGTGAAAGCGGCTCGGGGACTGACCCCACAATTATGAGAATGCTCGAAGAGCTCACTAAGAGGATCGAGTCCGGAGAAAAGAAAATTGAAGACAATGACAAAAATGTAGGGACTTATAACTCCCGTGTTGACCAAATACCGGGAGAACCTTAAGTTTCGGAAAAATTAGATGCCAAAAAGTTCATACAAAAATAATTCCCTCAAAGTGCAGCTTCGATGCCTATTCCTAAGAAGTTTCGCGTGCTCGATATACCCAAATATAACAGGACAACCGACCCTAATGAGCATATTACTTCATACACTTGCGGGATCAAAGGAAATGACTTGAATGACGATGAGGTCGAATCTGTCTTATTAAAAAAGTTTGGAGAAACACTGTCGAAAGGAGCTATGATTTGGTATCACAACATAACTCCTAACTCTATTGACTCATTTGCTATGTTAGCAGACACCTTCGTGAAAGCGCACGCCGGGGCCATAAAGGTGGCCACGAGAAAATTGGACGTCTTCAAGATAAGACAAAGGAACGACGAGATGTTGAGGGAGTTCATGTCCAGGTTCCAGATGAAACGAATGGAGTTACCACCGGTCTCGGATGACTGGGCAGTACAAGCTTTTATGCAAGGTTTGAATGAAAGGAGCTCGATTGCGTCTTGACAATTAATGCACAACCTGATCGAGTATCTAGCTGTGACATGGTCAGATGTGCACAACCGTTATCAAGCAAAAACCAGGGTTGAGGATGACCAGTTGGGAGCCCCCTCGGGTTTAGTTCATCCTAACAGATTCTAAGCCAAGCCTCTGAGGGATACGTACAGGGAATCAAGATCAAACAAAGAGCGGTATCAGCCGTATATAGATCAGAGGAACAATGGTTCAGGTCGAAACACCCCCTGAAATGATCAGAGAAACGATCGAGGTCAAAGTTATCGAGGACTCATGAGTAGGAACGAGTTCGATTAACACACTGATCCCACAGAGGCACCTCGATTGTTAGAGTATAATGTTAGTATAGACGCATCAGGGATTGTATTAGCTATTGGAAGAATCAAAGATACCAGGTGGCCCAGACCAATCTAAACCGATCCGTCTAAGAGGAATCCAAATTAAATGTGTAAGTATCATGGCACGCATGGTAATAAAACGGAAGATTGCAGGCAACAAAGGGAAGTAGTGGCTCGATTGTTCAACGAGGGCCATCTTTGAGAATTTCTAGGCGATCGAGCCAAGAATCACTTCAGGGAGAGAGATGCAAGAAAAAATGAACAAGAAGAACCACAACATGTAATCCACATGATCGTTGGCGGCGTCGATGTCCCAAAGGACCAGTGTTCAAACGCACCAAGGTGTCAATCATAAGAGAAAAACGTACTCGGAGCTACTGCCCGAGGATGCCTTATTATTCCACGATGAGGAAGCAGAGGGCATAACTCAGCCACATAACGATGCCCTGGTAATCTCTATCCTTTTAAATAAAATTCAGGTTAAACATGTTCTTGTGGATCCAGGTAGCTCAGAAAACATAATTAGATCGAGGGTCGTGGAGCAGCTCGGCCAAGAGGATCAGATTGTACCTGCGTCCCGGGTCTTAAATAGCTTCAACATGGCAAGCGAATCAACAAAGGGAGAAATTATCTTGCCAGTAAACGTAGTCGGGACCATAGAAGATACTAAATTCCATGTCATCGAAGGTGACATGAGGTATAACACGCTCCTCGGGAGACCATGGATACACAACATGAGAGCAGTACCTTCAACTCTTCATCAGATGATGAAGTTCCCAACGGAGGATGGAGTAATAACGGTTTATGTGGAGCAACATGCTGCAAAGGAGATGTTTGTTGTCGAGGAAGTTCTGCCGATACCAGATCCTTTGACCTTGGAGAAATCGAGCACCAAAGGTAAGCAAGCAACCAAATAGCAATCACCATCCCCAGCCTCGACGGAATCGGAGCAACAGGTAATCGAGGACGAAAAAGAGGATTTCCTCACTCCTCGAACCTTCGTCGCTCCCGAAGAGTCCAGTGCAACCAAGTCGACAGTCGAGGAGCTGGAACAGGTCATACTGATCGAATACTTGCCCGAGAGAAAGGCATACCTGGGAACGGGATTGACCCCCGAACTCAGGAAAAAACTCATTCAATTTCTTCTTGATAATATGGATTGCTTTGCTTGGTCCTATTTAGACATGATAGGAATTCCACCAGAAACCACCAAACACCGGCTAAGCACCGACTCCACGTTCAAACCGGTGAAGCAAAAAAGGAGGCCTCAGTCTTAGGTAAAACATGATTTCATAGAAGACGAGGTAACCAAATTCTTAAGATAGGATCAATTCGGGAGGTAAAATACCCCAAGTGGTTAGCCAACGTAGTTGTAGTTCCTAAGAAAGGAAACAAACTTAGAATGTGTGTAGATTATAAGGACAAAACAAAGCACGTCCGAAAGATTCTTTCCCACTGCCCAACAACGATCGTATGATCGATGCTACGGCCGGCCACGAGATCCTAACTTTTCTCGATGCCTACTCCGGGTACAATCAGATTCAGATGAACCTGGAGGACCAGGAAAAAACTTCATTCATTACTAAATTTGGAACTTATTGTTACAACGTAATGCCATTCGGACTAAAAAATGTAGGAGCTACATACCAACGCCTAGTTAACAAAATGTTCGAAGAACAAATAGGTAAAACAATGGAAGTTTATATTGACAATATGTTGGTTAAGTCCGTGCGCGCAGAGGACCATTTAGTTCATTTGCAGGTAACATTCAAAATTTTGAGGAAATACAACATGAAGCTTAATCTGGAGAAATGTGCCTTCGGGGTTGGGTAGGGAAAGTTCCTCGGCTTCATGGTATCAATCGGGGTATCAAAATTAACCCCGATAAGATCAAAGCTATCAAGGATATCACAATCGTGGATTGCGTGAAGGCTGTGCAAAGGCTAAAAGGAAGAATTGCTGCCCTGGGTCGGTTCATTTTGAGGTCATCAG